CTCCCCACCCCCGTGACCCCGTTCAGGGACTAAGCGGTAGAAAATGAATGAAAAAACACTGTGTGCAATTAGAATGTACTACATACAGTACATGCAGCTGATGGAATGAGCTACTTACTTGTGGCCCAAATGCTTGAGGAAGTACCCAAGGACTTTAAGGGATTGTACTCGAATGCTTTCATTCTTTGAGCTCATAAGCTTGTAGATTACTCTGGAATAGACACAAACAGTGAAAGCTGGAAACAGCACATAGTTTCGACAGAATAAAATATAGCCCTTCTACAGGAAAAGGCCCTGCACTGGTTGACGGCCACTTTCCTTCAGTGACTTTACATTAGCACTGAAAGAATATTCTAATGAAGGCAGCAGCCTTTTCCTCAAAACTCACAAGTGGTGTTACACTTCATAGAATCAGTTTGACCAGCTGTGTTAAACTGTGAAATCAATGTTAATACTGTCTCTTTTCCATGCATAGTTTTATTTTTCACACTAAACAAGAATTATTCATGCACCATGTAGGCACACAGAAGCAGCACAGGTGTTAGGTCTTTAGGTGTATTTGCTGAAATAACCTCTTCATTTTGTGCCTGAATAGTGTCTTCCCCTGAGGGCCTTACCGTATTCCATTTCTCTGGTCAAAAGCGGGGATCATGGAGGCTGGATGCTCAGACATGAGGGCTACCACCAACTGCAACACATCATGCAAATTCTCATCCTGCAGACAAACCAGGAAGAAAGGAAATGAGAGAGAGATATATAAAGATAGAAAATGGAGCAGGCGAAGAATAAGATTGTGCTTTTGTTCTTGCACAGAGTCTGCAACTGCTAGACAGACATAATCTATTTGGCAACTGTTTCATGTGCAACTGCAGAATACACCTGGGCCCCTGATACACCTTACGGCAGTACAGGGGGCAGTAGCTGGCCACTGCACAATGAACAGTGCATTAGCCATCCAAAAAGATGAATTTGTTGTTGTGGTTAGATATAATGCTGGAAAAAATAAACCTTTTCAGCAGACATAGGCTCTCGTGTACCTCATGCATCGTTAACAAATAGTTCAGGATGCTCTGCAGCTCATCCTCCTTTACACCTCGGTCCTGAAAGAACGAATAAAGAAAAAAAATATAAAAACAAAAATAATTTGAAAGGGTCATTGCATTTTAAAGGTACAGTGTCAGCAAATATTCCGACAAAATGCATCACAGTATTTTTAATTTTCTTCCATCACAGTTCAATAAAGGTATTAGAAATTACTGCAGGAAGAGAAGAAGGCATTATTTTTGTGTGTCAGTCTTTTATTATGATTGATCAGGTGTGCACTCGATGTACCCGTTATGAGACTAAACAAAAAAACGCCAAAAACAAAAAAAACTTAGGTTTGCCTAAAAATGTTGGCCTGGGGACAACATGTAGACTCTATGGGGGATGTTTATTACACCTGTCGCAGATCACTGTTAGGTGCGGAAAATATTGTGGCACCGCAATTTTTCAGTTTAGCAGCATATTTACCAACACTGATGATGTAAATGAGCACAGCTGCAACTGTATTAATTTGAACATGCTTCAGCAGAGATTAATTGAATAAAATATAGTATTTTCACAAGACTTGATTGATCCCTGGTGGGAAATTCCCAAGCTACCGAGCATATAAGGTAGTCAACATTAGCTCTATCTTTACCACATTAATACATCAATAATTATAGTCCAATTATATGATATACATTAATGAGAACTGTACAATTCTGCATAATGTGTAGTTTTGGTACTTTAAGTATATTTTATGCTAATACCTTTGTACCTTTACTTAAGTAACAATTTGAATGTAGGACTTTTACTTGCAACAGAGTATTTTTACACTGTAGTATAGCTATTTTTACTAAAGTGAACAATCTGACTACTTCTTCCACTGCTGCCTAAAAGTCAGTAAAAGTCCCCTCACATTCTCCTCTGGCAAGCGAAGGATTTCCAAACACCTTATCCCTCCTCAAACATGTTACCCCAGACAAGGTCTCAGATGATTAACAGCTGCCAAGTTAACAGCAGGGCTGCAAATGTTACATCTGCTTTCTCCTGACATTAACTTTCAGCCACAGTTATTTGTCTCAGAGTCTCAGTAAAATCAGGTGCTGAGGGTATTTGTACACATTTCCATTTATTCCTCCATGGTTTCTGCATCACTGATTGTAAATGCCTCAAAATACATACTGATTTACTGTATATTGCATGAGACCAAATGCACAAATTCTTGCTGTGCTGCATTTCTTCCATTTTTCCAGCGCAAAACCTCACTGTGGCTCTTTAGTAAATATGAGCACATGCAATTTCACTGTTTAGTGCCTAAAAATGAGCTGCAAATCCTGAGTAACTATCGCCCAACTCTGTTTTCTATCCCGTCTTATTTCTGCAATGTCCTGGAAAGCCCGCTACAGAATGTGGTAGGATAATTATCTGCAGAGATGTGGCATGCTTGGATGTGGGTAGCAATACATTGACTGTTCAGTAAACTGTGCACTATAAGGATAAAAAAATTAATGATATACCTGCATTTAGCTGTCATGTATTTCCAGACCAGAAAGTGATTAAATAAGTATCAAAACTGTCATTTATTAATATTTTCATGATTGTTAGATAAATTAATTCTTCCAAGCACAAACTTTTTACAGTAAATAAATAAATATTAGCACTGAATTTATTAAGGAGCAGACAGGCAGAAAATCTTAAAGGATAACACAGCGAGAGTTGATAATCTCCATATTTTTCCATGCAGCTCAAAATCAAGCCGTGTGAGAGGCTTCAAGGCATGACGACAGGTGTGCTATACCTTCAGGATGAGCTGCTTGAGGAAGAGAAGCATGAACGCCCGCAGAGAAATTATTTCTTTCTGGGTCGGCCTTGGACCATCTGTAGTTGGAGACAGTGAGAGAAGCAATAAAACTGAGAAAGAATGCACTGGAAGCCAATAAGAAATCTTTGTCTTTTCATCATTTAATGGCACTTTTATTCATGGTTTATTTTCATAATTAAAATGTTTTTAGGGCCACTAATGACATCTTTTTCTCTTTGATGCCTAAGGTCCCCCTTCAAGAATTTGAAAAAAGCAGAGGAAACCTGAACACCTTCCATGTCATCTTCACCGTGCATGACAAGTTGGACTAGGTTGTACCATCTGCCTAGACAGGGAGTAGGGAGTGGAGTGAATCGCTCACTTTATTAATGAGAAAAATTTGTACATTAACAACTAGTAGTTTATATATCTGGCACGTTTTAAGTTCACAAGGGGCCACTCTCAGTATGCAACCTGAATTTGTTTACCAGTCGTGCTGCATCCAAAGTCCCAAGAAGTATCCCAGGTAGTCTTGGCCACAACACAGTGCCCAGGCAGGTAGCCCAAGGTCATCACAGTCACATTAATTAATCTCATTAAAACTATCCTGAATGCCTCAGCCAGGTTAAGATCACTTTGATGCTCCAATGTTGGCCTCACATTGAAATCCATGCCTGTCATGAACCTTATTCAACATCTGATGGACCCAATGCTGTCAGCAGGTATGTATTACAAATAAAGATGAATGGCAGAATATGACAGAAAGCATTGATTAGCTGTCATACAGTATCACAGAGCTGCTGCTGCAGCTGTACCGGTTTGGTTGGGACAGGAGTTCATCAGATCCTATTCAGTATGCTGAGCTCTTTAGTTTTTTTTATACAAAAAGCCTATATGCCCAGTATACATACTAATGGGCTGCAGCAACAGCCAAAACAACACATAAATATTCTATCAGACACAACAGAAATACAGGATAAGGTACATATTAGCACTAACAATAGAAACATGAATCCCAAGATTAGCAGCACTCGCGCTGTAGCACAAACACTCAATTTTGGCAGTAAAATCAGACATATATTCATTCATTTCTTTTTCATCTGGTGCACCCTGAAAAAACCTTTTGTATTTCCAGAATTATGAAACAGTGAGACAAATACAACAGTAGAAGTCTTAAGGGAAACTACTGTAATCACTTTGCCCAGTGTCTTTCGTCTCTGCTAAGCCCTGATAAACTCAAACCTCCACCTTGGCTGAACACATATTCATTTGAAAAGGGAACAGTGCCATGATGACACCTGACCATCCTGCTGTCTCAACAGCCAGTCAATGTAATCAGTGATGGGGCTCCCTGAGGTTGCTGGAGGATGGCATATGCCGCTGCATCCCGACACTGATTAACAGAGTGAGAGAGCAAAACCCAGTGCAGGGGACGAACCCTGACATGGAAGGGATGATAAGAACATTATTATCATCACCACTGCATCCAAGTTATTCACAGCCAATTATGCTCAGCAGCTCTTGTTTTCATTCACCGATTGCTTTACTTCCTGCATCCCAAGGGCACCACAAGAAAAAGCTGTTATTGAAGAACATTTTGTGTCAGTGTGATTAATGCAGGATTCTTAGTTCAGCTTATGAAAGATAAAGTCAGTACATAATCAATAGTGTGTGTCCTGCTTACTTGTGTAAACCTATAGAAAACACGAATTATACAGTTGAAGTCAGAAGTTTATATACACTTAAGCTGAAGTCACTGAAACTGATTTGTAACCACTCTACAGATGTTATGTTAAAAAAAACTCATTTTGGCAAGTCAGTCAGGACATGTACTTTACGCAAGCCACAAGTAATATTTTCAACAGTTGCTGACATATAGATTATTTCACTTATAATTCACTATATCACAGTTTCAGTGGGTCAGAAGTTTCCATATACTCAGTTGACTGTGCCTTTAAACAGCCTACATAGGCCTGAAGGTACAACGTTCATCTGTATAAAAAAATACTATGCAAGTATAAACACCATGGGACAATGCAGCCATCATACCGCTCAGGTACCAAAGCATCCATATCCACAGTAAAACAAGTCCTATATCAACATAATCTAAAGGCTTCTCAGCAAGGAATAAGCCATTGCTCCAAGACTGCCACTGAAAAGGCTGCACAATCTTATTTTTTAGGAAAAATGTCCTCTGGTTTGATGAAATAAAAATTGAACTGTTTGGCCATAATGACCATCGTTATGTCTGGAGGAAAAAGGGGGAGGCTTGCAAGCCAAAGAACACCACCTCAACCGTACAGCACGGGGGTGGCAGCATCATGCTTTACTGCAAGAGGAACTGGGGAACATCACAAAATAGATGGCATCATGAGGAAGGAAGATTATGTGGATACAGTGGGTACGGAAAGTATTCAGACCCCCTTAAATTTTTCACTCTTTGTTATATTGCAGCCATATGCTAAAATCATTTAAGTTCATTTTTTTCCTCATTAATGTACACACAGCACCCCATATTGACAGAAAAACACAGAATTTGACATTTTTGCAGATTTATTAAAAAAGAAAAACTGAAATATCACATGGTCATAAGTATTCAGACCCTTTGCTCAGTATTTAGTAGAAGCACCCTTTTGAGCTAATACAGCCATGAGTCTTTTTGGGAATGATGCAACAAGTTTTTCACACCTGCATTTGGGGATCCTCTGCCATTCCTCCTTGCAGATCCTCTCCAGTGCTGTCAGGTTGGATGGTAAACGTTGGTCGTCATGTTTAACATGTCATTTTGCTTCAGTGGCATTTTGGTCTGTTTCACCCAGATAGATGAGTCGGTGTGAAAATGTGGGAAAGATGGTCAAAAATGTGATTTAATGTGCTTCTCTTAAAAGCAGTTGTAGGTTTGGTGGTTGAATAAAAATGGGAAGGAGAAAGCTGTGTGACCACACAAAGCAGTTTTGAGTTTTGAGATTCAGTAAATTTGCCACTTCCCCTTTTTTTAACTGTCTTCTTTTTTATGTGGTGTCAAATCTGTGAAAAAGAAAACATTTGTTTGTACATGACCCGGTTGTACTTTTCCTCAGATGCCTGGTAATATCTAACATCTTCAGAATGAATCTAAATGGTAAATCATAATAATGTGGTTTATGATGACATATGAGTGCACTTTTCAAAGTACTCTACATCAGGATATTTCATTCTGACTGACAAGATGTACTTAACATGTACTTACCAAACAAACAAAAACACTATCTTTATAATAATGACCCTCATCAGTCAAATTAAATATTCTTCATATTTTATATTAGAAAACCAGACAGGAAAATGTTGTTTTTACTGCGCCAACCAAACCAGTGCTTTCAGATGAAGACTTTTAAAGTGTAGGTGAAAACTAAAAATCGACAGTATGAATCTTTCATCACAGGAACTCACAGGAATTGCACATTAAATAGTTTATTATTGAAAGAAAAGTGGATGAATAAATCAATTATAAAACAAACACAAGTGAGAATACATGGAGGACTGCAGACTTAATCTAAACGATATCCGGGACTCACCGCTCAGCAGGGAGGGATTTCATTCATGAAGTGCTGGAGGAAGAAATGGGAGGATGTCTGACCTTCGCTCCCATACTTATGTCTGTGACAGGAGGATTAATGAGGAAAAAAATGAACTTAAATGATTTTAGCATATGGCTGCAATATAACAAAGAGTGAAAAATTTAAGGGGGTCTGAATACTTTCCGTACCCACTGTATATTGAAGCAACATCTCAAGACATCAACCAGGAAGTTAAAGTTTGGCTGCAAATGGATCCTCCAAGTGGACAGTGACCCCAGGCAGACTCCCACAGTTGTGACAAAATGGCTGGAGTTTGGATGCATTCGGCTAAGGTGTATGTAAAATTTTAACTTCAACTGTATTTAAAATGCTCTTGGTAAACATAGAAAGTCAGCAACACTCTAATGCAACAATATTTTCATCACAGGAGTAATAACTGGTTTCCAGAACATTTCTCAAGTCATAACTAATGTGTGCTGTGCCTGCTTAATCTGTTCTGTTCAGAACATCAGAATGTTGATTTTAAGCTAAAATAACTAAACATTTCATAAGACACAGGCCAAACGTGAGGAAATAAACATTAAAAGTGAACAAGAAAGTTCTCTTATACACCGCCTAACCTTCATTTGCTCCAGTAAATTTCCCATGTGTAAATCTGAAATAAAGCAGTGTTGAAAGAAGAGCATGTATGCAGCAGACCATTCCTTGACTTCTATGTGATCAGTAGTTTGTGTCTTACATTAAATTAATTTATCAGAATGAAGGCACACACAAAACTCAATTAAACCACAAGCTCAGATCAGATTATTCCTCTGAAGCATATCTGTGTATCTGTCACTGGCCATTTGTCCTACAATGGGAACACAACCAGCTTGACTTGAACATGGTGACTGGACGAACAGCTGTGCAGCTCATTACTTAGTTAACCAGAGGCAGAGCAGAGGTAGAGACAAAAAGTGAGTGACAGACATTGAGACAGATTATGTGTGGGCTAGTGGGCACATGTCCCTGCCGGAGAAGAGTTGAGCAATAGGTGTGCCTGCAGTGATTCTCTGTGACCAAATGATACACAACTTTAATGTGATAGCACTCTCTATAAAGACGTGAGGGAAAAAAAGCAGAGGCTCTTCCAGAATTAGAGTGAGCTGCCAGAGGAGCTTTGTTTTAAACATCCTCTCTGCATCCTATAATTGAACACTTAATTATCTGCATGGCTCTCTCCCTCTTTGCATGTGTTTTTGTTTAGTAATTTCACGGTTTGGAAGGACAGAAAGAAAAAGTGACCTGCCAAATCAAGCATGAATCAATGGAACCAGACCCACCTTGAAAATTACCTGGAGTGGAAGTTGATTCATTCAAGATATGGCTTCCTCAGAAACTCTGACAATCAGCTCCATGCATACAGTTCAGCTTGATAAGGCCACATTTAGTGAAGGCTGAAGTAGAAAGCTCAATGGAGGGAGGTGGTTAACAAATATGTGGTCAAATATGTGCACATGCACACTTCTTTGTAGTCAAAAAACTATGAAGAGGTGGATGTCAATGTGCAGTCCATCAGGTCTGATATGCTTTTTAGAATTTGTACTTCTTCAGAAATACAGTATGTTCTATAGTTACCTAACTGGCAGCAATAAAGGACTGAATGATGTGTTTGTTTCATTTTTGGACCCATCTTAACATTGTAATAATCCTCTACTGGGTCCTGACACATACCTAAACACCTTGTGAAGGAACTTGATTCCGAGAATTCTGAAGACACTTCTACATATTTTCCGCAGCTTTTGAAAAAAAAAAAAAAGAAACTGATTGTAATCACGTTTCCCCTGCCTGCATGTGCACAACAGTTGTGTGATGTTGTCACTGTTTTTTCTCATTTACAGTCATTTTCAAGCCAAGGATTTGATATTCACATCTACTTCACACCTTGTCTGGATAGTTGCACATCTCTGTCTAGCATGTCTTCTTCATTCCTTAAACAACAATCTGTGACATCTCTCATGTCAAACTTCTAGAGCTGTTTCCCTCAGTAGCCTGCATGAACAACCCAGGTTAATGTCTGTTAATTGATAACCGTCTCCTGATGAGATAGTCTGAAAACGCACACTGCTAACCCAAACCCCCACCCACCTTTCTGTTTTCCATGGTGGTCGGTCAGTAGCCTACCTCTAAAGAAATTGAACTTTGCATTTCAGTGGCCATGTGTCCTTAAATTTTATGTTGATGGAATTTCCAAAAAATGATCACACTTTAACTGATTCTTAAATTTAGAAGCTCATATAAAGTGATTTCTTTCAGCCTACTCAAGATTACTTAAGGTTGCTTTAATGCATTTTTGTGCTTACTTTGGCCTTAAAAATAATTGTTGTTAGCTAAATGAATATTTTCTTTTACATTACAAGCAAATAAATCACTCTGCAGAGCTCCACAGATTTCCATCCTGAATATCTGCAGAGATCTGTAATAAAAAAAAAAAAATTAAAATTTGCACATTCCATTTGGGGCTGTTCATGACTACACAGTACTGTAGATGAAAGTTAAATCATAAGCTTTTCCTAACCCTCTGCTCACTGTTCACCATGGGAGTTGAAAGCACAGCCCGCATTACTTCTGACCAATCTACCTGCTGATCTCATTGTCCTCACTCAGCAACAGAACCCTGAGGTTCTTGATCTCCATTTTGGCCAGCAAAAAGCTCACAATCCAAAAGTGGCAATTTGTTTTCTGGCAGTGGACCATGGCCTCGAACATGGTAATGACTTTCATCTCAGCCAGTTCCCACTCAGATGAAACTACCCCAGAATGTGCTTGAAGAGAACAAAGCTAGTTACAATCCTGAATTCTGTTCTACCTCCTGCCCTGGTTCCAGCTTCCTCGCTGCCTGACAGGTGAGTATACACGAGCCGCTGTAGGTATCAGTCACTCAAAGACCCTGTCATCACCAAACATCTACACATACACAGCATACTGCCAATAGCTATATGATTTTTTTTGTAATTTTTATGACTGTGTGAATGCATAACCTACAGCGAGTACATTGTAGAGCAGCCTATAGATACATTTTGTGTTTTTAAAACTTGTGTTGACATGTCTGACTTGAATCAAATCAGGAAACTGCTTGGTCTTGTGATACTCCTATACAAAGCTACAGTGCCCGGGGCTACACAGAAACAGATTTCTCAGTCAAGTGATTTTCAGATCAAAATCTATTGTTCAACAGTGGTGAAGGAAAAAAATACTCAGAGGCCCAATGTAGTGGACAAGAAGAGAAAGGTTCCTCTGATGCCCAAGCTACATAGCTACATATACGTAGCTCATGATCCTACAAGCCTACAGCTGTAGACAGGGTCAGCTTTCATCACATATTAAGTCTTGTAAAGTTCCCTTGTACAGCACAACAATTGATAAGGGACAGCACAGTGAGAGCGAGACTGAGGGGCCCATGGACTGACCTAACTTACAGATATGTATGCCCACCTCAGCTAACTACCGTCTAGCAATCCATACAGCTATTAGCCAATTACGATCACCCCCTAAAAGATCATGAATGGAGGCCAAGTGCCTCAATGTGGCATATGAGGTGCCTCTTGATCAACTAAAGCTACAGATAGTGTCTTTTTGGCGAAGACTGGTGCTGAAATGTGAAAAACGTCTGATTTTCCTCTTATTTCCCGCTTCAACAAATAGTGCTTAGGGGCGTTCACAAGGCGGCGCTGCTATCACTGCATCATCATGGTGATCACATTCCAGTCAGAAGCTGGGACCGGACAGAGACCAACCACGGGTCAGCCAAGGTTCTGTCAAGGACCAGCCAGCCATTTAAGATGGCTGCATCCATACTATACAGCACACAAGCTAAAATGCCACAAAATTCATCCAACCCTGACACTACCTGTAGGAATTTTTCATCTTGCAGTGTTAATAAAAGTCAAGTTCACATGTGTGATATAAATTATCAGTGCTGCTAACAATACTGGTGGAGGTAAAGAAAAATCTTTTTTGTAAGAAATCACCACTGACTGTGTGACAAGTACAACATGAACATTTCCAGAACACAAGCCTTTAACCTTCAGGAAGTAATTTCATTAGGCCTTGGTGTACCATATACTGAGCTGACAGGACCCTTATAAAACAACCCCTAAACTATGAAAGATAGTTTTAGGAAGGAATAATGTAGACCAAAAAGGAAATGACAGTTCTGCTTGGTGACATAATGTTGTTTCATAGACTGAGGATACCAGTCATACTACTGGCCCAGGTTTCAGAGGGCTAACACCCACAGCGAGCAACCTAGCAGAATGACATTATTGATGTGGCGTGTCTACCTCACTGCCATCTCCAGTGATGGCCACAGGCCTAACAGCTGACAGGCCAGCACTTTCATGTGGAGATGAGTCATTCCAAATGTGGGGGAGTTGCTGCCATTTCAGCACAACCCTTTGACAGCAGGCTTGTGACTGCACACACTGAATAAGATTAGTTCATTCTTGGTAATATTTTTTCCAAAAACGCTAAGCTTCACTTGGATTAGCCTTCAAATGAATGGGGAACTGTTCATGGTGAAAAAAAACAATTTGCAGCAAAAAGCAAATAAACCCAGCTTACACTGAAAAAAAAGAAATCCAAATGCTAACTATGCTCACCAAGACCCTTTGGTGTGATGCCACTGCTGTCTGCAGGGTTGACAGCCCAGTAGTAGTACTTCAGTGTATGCATGAGCTGAAGCACTGTGCCCACTCGACGAATAGTGTTGTAGATGGTTGCTGTGCCAATGAACTCAGCAGAAAGGTATGTGTACAAAGAGAGCTGCACCTGAAATGGGAACACACACACACACACACACAGGTGTAACTGCTGTACAGGTATTCATGCTTTTAACTACACAGTGGAATTGCACTTTTAAAGTACAGTATATACAATGACAGCTTAATCCCCTGAACCACCTCTTTAAATTAACCCAGACATTTTACAGTTGTGAATTGCATGAGAGCGGAGCCTTTTATCCTTGCAGGTGTATGATAGGGATGGTCACTGACCCTATATGCCTCCAGTTCATAACTGTTACAGCTCCACTCTGTTCAGTGATGATTAGCATGCCTGCTGTAATCAGCAACAGACCTGACCCTATACGACTCATTTCATAACTGTCACAGCTCCAGTCTGTTCAGTGATGATTAGCATGTCCGCTGTAATTAGCAACATACCTGACCTGACAAGAATCCTTAATTCCACCACAGTCATTCCAGCACTAAACACTGAAGGCTTCTGCTCACATGTCATAAATGATAGGAAATTAATGACTCAAATGTGAGTCACGATGAAAGGAGGCAGTGTGGTTATGATGTGAACATGATGTGATATATTTTAAGGCTACTGAAATGAACTGCTGGGAATGACTGAACACCATGTTGTTTGCAATTTGATTTGAGAGCATAAAAGTAAAGCACTCAAAAATTCTTATTTGTCTCCTAGGTCAGTGGGCCCATGTAATTAATGCCAATTGCATGCTTCCATCATTCACACTGCTGGCTTTCTGTACCCTGTGTAGCTTGAGGGTAATGACTTGACGCCATTTTTTCTATCCCAGTGTACCTAAAAATGCTCTAACCCACTTCATTACCTCACTGTTTTGCTCATTGCCCCTTTTTTTCTAAGCTCTAAGCTTTTTCTAAGTAGTGTCACCGGCAAGCCTGCAGTCACTTTTGTATTTATTTCCTCCTTTCATTTTTCATGGCCCCAATAGCAGCATTCCTGAGGCAAATATAATTGTCACACAAACTAATCTTCTTTGATATACATCATCTCATTTTTTCATACAGGTAATTATATTAAACTAACAAAAACATGCTACAACATTTGAAATACTTAGACTGGGGACAGGAAAGTGGAAGCAAATGATGAACTGCTTTGCAACTATTTAATATTTATGAATGTTTTATAAACATTAAACAATATTAAAATATATACTGTATATTCTGTATGTGCCCCACTCTGCTCAATTTAAGACTCCCGAGACACTTGGCACTTCTCTGGTGAATGTCACAGTTGGACCCAAAGCACAAACTGTCAAAGAGTGAATCTACATAAAATTATTCAATTTGAACATTCAACAGACAGACTCTACATACTCTAGTTTGCATTTAGCTCATTAATATGGTTGGCAAATCAGAAAAATATGGGAAAATTATTTTTTCCATCTGCACTCATTACCACCTACACAAACACTTACTGCCACTGGGAATCTCACCAAAAGCGACGTGAGTGTGATACATACAGTACAGATGTGTAAAAAAATTAAATGAAAGTCCTGAATAAATTTGTGGAAATGAACAAAAATAATGGGATCACTGATTATTATTATCTTATTGATTATTTCATCTTTTTATTCACAGAAAGTCCATTCTGACAATCCAGAGTCAAAGGTGGTGTCTTCAAATGCCTTGTATGTCCAACCAGCATTCCAAAGATAGTCAGTTTATTATGAGGTATGACCAAAAAAAAGCACCAAGTCTTCACATTAAAGAAGGTGTAACCAAAGAATGTTGGTGATGTTTGCTTCAAAACAGCTGCTGGTTAATTTTCTATCAATGAACTGACTAATTATTGCAGCTCAAGGTTAATGAATGACTTACAGAGTATGAAAAAACATGTTGAACACAATGTTTTGGAAGGATGATGTTTCCTCCCTCCAACAGAGGAACACTGAAGCTGTTCTCCAGACACTTCAGTAAAAAAAAAGTACAACATGCTAAATTTGCACCGTTATTATTATTATTAATTTTTTTGCACTGAACTTATTTATTCTATTTTAGTCATTTATTGTGATTTTATTCTGCCATGTAAAGTACTTTGGTCAGCTGGATGTTGTTTTTAACGTGCTATATAAATAAATTTGATTTGATATTTCCTTTATAATATAGGCACTTCTGAGGATTTACAGTTTCAGTTCTTGTCTTTGCAAAAGCAATAATGATGCAAAAAAGCCTCCTGTGGTTGAAAGCACCCGATAAGCATCCATTTCAGCCAGATTACTTGCAAAGACACCTGCCCCTCCATGGGCTAAGTTACTTGCAGGGGCTCACCTTGGCAGGAGTGTGGATCCAGATGGCAGCATTGAACAGGATGTGGTCACAAAGCTGCTTCAGTAGTGGTGCCCCATGTGCCAAACCATCCAAATACTTTGCAAAGGAGAGGAACTGCTCTAATACAGCCCTGGTGATGTGCACACGCGATGACTGTACAGAAAAGCACAAAATAATGTAAAACAATTATCATACTTCCAAGCATATAAAGCATTTGGTATTTGTAAACACTAGAAGTGGTCAGCAACAGATGCCTATAAAATCCTTGAGGAAAACCTGCCATCTCCCAGAAAGCTGAAGACAGGAAGAAAGTTCTCCTTTCAACATGACAGTGACCCGAAGCACACAGCCAAGCTGACCACAGAGTGGCTGAATGAGAAAAAGATCCAGGCCCTCACAAGGCCTAGTCAGAGCCCAGACTTGATTGCTATTGAAAATCTGTGGAATGACTTGAAGACTGCAGTCACTATCATATTTGACTGAGCTTAAACAGTTCTGCAAAGAAGAGTGACTCAGTCTAGGTGTGCAAAGTTGGTAGAGAAGTATCTAAACATACTCAAAGCAAAAGATGGTTCCCCAAAGTATTACTGCAGGGAGGTGATCCTTATCCAAATCAATTCCCATTTTTTATTTTTCAGAACTGTTGATATTTTTATTTCACTTGTATTTTGTAAGCTGCATTGAGTAAATAAAGCTACAAAAATTCTTTTGTGTGTGTGCGTTTTCATTCCAGGCTGTGAAACAACAAAATGCGAATGTTTTGAAAAGGGGGCGATTCTTTTCTATACCCACTGTACCTACAGGTTAGCATGTTGGCACATGTGATAAATTCATCTGCTTAGTCATTTTGTCAAGTTGGTGAACCTAAAAAATGTTTGAACAAAATAAGAACATGTTATAGATGCTTGACTTTGCAGAGAATTTCACTTTGACCCATACCGTTACCACTCCTGTCTCGCACCTGTTCTCTGCCCAGGTGGGAACTTGGTGAGGGCAGGAGAGATAAAAATGAAGGTACGAGGAGACGGAAAGGTGTGGCACAAACAGATCATGAACAGATGGTGTGATATATGGAAGTGTGAAACCTGGCAGTGGGATAGAAGTGAGAAAAAAACTGCAGCTCTCAGGTGCTGATTCTTGCCTGGCTGTTAGTTAACAGCAGCTGAAGCCAGCAGGCAGGCAAGTCACTGAGTGACAAAGTAGAGTCATTTCTCAGGTCTCCAAAAGAGCCAGCACTCTGGGGAGGTTGGCAAGCTGCTAGATCTGCATCACAAATGGATAAACTAAGATTGATGTAGAAAGACAAAACACCTGGGGGGGGGGGGGGGTGGCCGGGGTGTCCTGTGGTTTTCTTCCTCTAGCTCTGTTTAATTCAAAGACACACACAGGACTGCTACAGGCAATGGGAGATCAGACTGCAGCCAGGGCATGGAGAATTCAGACAAGATACAGCACAGAGAGAGGCAAAAGAATTTAGGATTTTCAGTGAAAAACTTGTTAAAACTGCGCATCAGTGTATCATTTCCCATTATTTCACTCAAAAAATCAAGAATCAGACATATCCATTCTTCAACTATCTGCTCAAACTGAGAAAAGTCTGCAGAGTTTTTCAGTCTACCTGAACTGAGATCTCTAAGTTTGAGCGTGAATGTGCAAAAAAAAAAAAAAAAAAAAAAAAAAAAAAAAAATTTTTTGGGGGGGGGGAAAAATTTTTTTATTTGGAAATGGCAAGTTCCTGAGAACTGATGTGTTACTGAGGCTGGGAAACAGCTATGATATGTTATGAATGTGCTACTATACCTTCTCTAGCAGGTATCCAATCACCAAAAAGCCCTTTCCTCCCAGCATCTGCTCCTGCATGGCCACAGAGCTCTTGAGCAGCTCAACCAGAAAAGCCAGGAGAGTGGCACTGCAAAACAAGAAGACACCATCTCATGCAGGGATAAAATACACACATCAGGTGGTGAAGGAGTTATTCTATAAATTACAGCAGCATAAGAAGACAGTGTGGCAGAGGGCAAAAACACAAGATAATTTTCAAAGGAAGTCGGCAGTCAGCTGGGAACTCCAGAACAGCACTTTCATCTCTCCTCAGTTCACAAGATAAGACTGGCTCACTGGGGTATCTAGGGACAGAGTGGTCTGGGGAGTGAGTCGTAACTGGGTGTGTATGTATCTGTACTAAGGTGAGAGGGGGGTGTTGAAGGAGTCAAGGCAGTACACTAAAGGCAATGCTTCTCTTTGTGACTGGGCTTTTCAGTTTAAGCCTTTGGCTGAGTGACAGTGTGGTTGGTGACACTTTTTAATCGGCTTTCCCTCACATCTTCTATTGGCCCCACAATCACAATGACACAATCACTCCTGCGCAGGCTTGCCCATAGATACTGCACACGCATACAAACCCATCCAGTCGAATGCCAACTTTACTCTTCTGTGTGTCTTTTTTGTTTACCATGTTAGTTTGTAGTTGCTCATTTCTCACTACTGCTTCTGCTTAGCTACAGCTGAGCCAGAGGGAACACATACTGTACAGACCTGGGTGAATGTCAACTCTGGGTACTCTTAGTTTAGCTTTTAATCCTTTACTGCAAGCACAGCTTCCTTCCAATTTGGCAGAGCAGTGGCGACTGTTTTGAATTCAATATGGCGCAGAGCAACATAAGAAAAGATGTTTCCTAAAAGGATTTTTAATCACTGTTTGAGGGTGCTATTGAGAATAGCCACAGCAGATCCACAGTCATTGTAGAGCGATACTTGTGGGAGAAGCTTTAAACTCTTCAGCCCAGCAGGCTTTAGAAGGATTCTAAAAGCCAAGTGAAGGACAAAGCAAGTGTTGGGGGAAGTTACACATTGTGAGGTGAAGATCCTAAACATGCTAGTGAGAGAGAAACTGGAATAAAGAGCAGAGAAAAGAGGAAAGGACAGAGGCAGAGAGCAACAAGCATTAGGGGTTTGTGCTGCGCGGCCACTCCATCTAACAAGGCGTACTGCTGTCGCTGAACTAACACAGGATTAGAGCAGAGCTCAGACTCAATTCCGCAGTGGAGAAGCTTTAGACTGACCAGCTCAGGATGACACGATGAGAGGAGTCTGAACCAGCAGGCAGAGATAATTCTGACAACTGGACTACAGTTTGACCAAAGAAGGTAGTGGTTTACTACAGATATAGTACCAGTATCAGTGTATAATAACAGAACATAAATTGTACATAAAAAGTGCATAATATGTCATTCAAAGCTATATTCTCAGATTTAACAAAGCAACAGCTCACTGCTGCTTTGTAACCTTTTTTTTTTTTGCAGATTTCTCACTTTCTGTGCTCTGAGATTTACTGTCTGAAACCACAATAAGAGTGATAATAATAACAAGTTTATGACATCCCAATTAGAAAGCAATAGATGTGTCTCTGTGGTAAAGAAAGATGAAATATACATTTAAAGAAAAAATTACCCTTCTGCAATTTTAAGAATTCATTATTTCTGTTTATTACAAATTTCCTGAAACACAAGTTGAAAAGGGTTCAAAATTCAAAGATCAAAAGTAATCAAATTCATAGCAAACTGAGCTTTTGCCACCTACAATTTAATGTACATAGTTTATAAGGCAACTCAGATTTCCAGGAGGTCAAGTTGTCTTGTGCAGTAACAGTATTTCTCCATCTTACCATACACTGGTTTCCACCTGGCTGTCATTCAGTTGATGATAGTCCAGCTGAGCAAAAAGTGGAAAGAGCACCTGGATCCCACCAATGGAGTGGATGGCACTATGGATGGAGTGAGTCACTGTGGCTTTGACATCCTATGAGGATAAAACGCAAATTCATAATGACATTTTAAAACCAGTGCCACAGGAATGAATGAATCAATACCAAAGGAAGTTGACTTTGAGCAAAGTAACTGACCTGTAGCATAAGGGCATGTGGCGAGTGCACAAAGATGGAGGGATTTTCCTTAGGCGAGGACTCTAGGCAGAGCTGGGCGTCAGTGGCTTTGGCGTTATAGGTGAAGGCGATGACACTGGCCAACTTACCATCATACAACACCTGCTTGTGATGCTCTGCTAAGTGAATATCACTCTCTGACTTGAACTTAAATGTGCTCTAGGAAAAAAAAAGTGAAATAAAGGGCAAATAAGGGAAAGGTGGAGAGAATGAGAGTGAAAGATGGAGTATTTCCTCCTGCACATGCACGTTTCTCTCGAGCGTTAATTATAACTTGATCAAAAATATTTAATAATAATAAAAGTGACAAGATAAATGCTTTTCTGTATCAACCACCACACAATACTCGAGGTCGGGATTTGTTACCTGGCACCAAGTCAATTCCAGTCTATTAACTTTAAAAAATAAAAAAAATAAAAATCTATATTGATTAAAAGCTATGCTTATGCTGCAATCAACAACATCAAGCAAAGATTTATTTGCTTTTTAACCCACTGTTAAAAATAACAACTAAGGACAGTTTATGACAAGGCAAGTCGTGAAATTAATCTGAAGTATGGTGTTACACTGCTTATGAAAGTCAAATTCAAGGTGCAAGAAAATGAGAAAGTGACACTGGATGCATTATTCTATGTCCAATAAACTAAACATACTAGAATAGATTTTTATTTCACACTGAAAACACTGAATTTCTCATGAAGATCACTGAAATAGGAAAAGGCTGCAGAGAAAGTGTGCCGTAATTCTTTTACCTGGCACACATTAAGATTTTTACCAGTGCATAGGTTGCTTTACTGAAGAAATATTTTTCATTTCAAAAACACTTTGCACTCGTGGAACAGGAGCAAGTACAGTAAGAGTTTATCCAATATAGCTGCCAACACCTTTAAAGTGGGCGGTCTGCAATTTAGCTTTGAGTTGCTGTCACTTCACATCTGAAGTAATTAGACTGAGTCAAAACATTGTGCAAATAGAAATCACAAGACACTCAGTATTTATTTATCTGTTATATTACATTTCAGCTCTATAACCTTATTCCAAACAAGGACAAACAGTATAATACATTTACACAAAGCAGAAATTAAAACCTATAAACCTTATAGGAAATTTTTAAGATAATTTTACCTTTAAGTTTCATGACTACCAAATGAAATACACTAGTGACTTAGTAATTTCAATGATTATTCTTCTCTTCAGGGATCGGTCCTGTGTCTTACATGTGTTATGTATGTCTGGAAATTTCACATCTGAAGACATTCAGACATGGCTATATAAAAAAAATAAATAAAAAAAAAGCTACAAGGTCCATTAGTCTGCGCCTCAGTAAAACATTCATTACGGCTAAAATAACAAAGAGCTTATCCATAAGAAACTAGTCTTAATTTACTCAATCAATTAGCTATTGACTGTTGACAAATGAGCTGACTTAATCCATCAATACACTGTGAGTGGAATATGCTTAATAATGAAATAAACTCCTTTAATAAGAAGAGTTGAATTATTAATGGATGCAGGAAACATTTATTTTTCCTTCCCACTCTGACTCAGGAGCAACAAGCAGATGGTGAAACAGAAAAGAAGTGAAGAGAGAGGAAACAACCATCTGATCCAAGAGGGACTCCAGATAAATATAGTATGTTATGCACCTGCTTAGATCTAGATTGCTTGTTTTCAATAAGAGAGTAAATCAACAAAAAGGTGAGCTAACTCAAGTTGTCAGTGAATTCTACTCTGATAGGTGAAAAGTTCAAAGTGCTTAATACTATTCTCTATATACACGTGCTACAAATATCTAACACTACTACACTTAAAACAGCTGGTCTAGAGTTGGTTTCAGTCTTTGAAATGGTTCGTTTTTTTATCCTAAAACTATCCTCTGAGTTTCAGATTTGCTTTTGGCAAGTTGATATTGTTTCCAAACAATACTGGTTACTGGCTCTAAATCAGTTCTCCAGAAACTGAGAGAGCCGAGTTACATTTAATGGTATATCTTCATCCAGTCAGATGACAAAAAAACATTTTAACTGCTATGATCCACACAGGCCCACAGAGCAGCCGGCGTGCATCCCATCATGTAGTCGCTAACATTCTTCAGAGGTTGCTACTCATGGAACCAAAGTGCCAAGAAATAACAAGATCCAGCACCCTGTGCTTTAGTGCGAGCCCTGCCGCAGCGTGAAAGTAATGATCTCTTGGGTTTTGGCTGACAAACCCTATAGCATGGCAGCATCAGTCCACAGCCCAGCCAGCTGTATAAAAGAAATGGAGCACAGTTCCTTCCTCTCAGTTTCTTAGTATTGATTAAATGTTTAACTTTCACTAAATCTCTGTAGGTGGTGTTGGGAATTAGTCATGTTTAATCCTCTCATTATCACTGTCAAGGAGTTTATGTACTGTATATTTGTCTGTTACTCAGCAGGATATGTCTCAAAAGCTGTTAAGAGATTTTAATACAATATCCAGGAATGTTGTGTTTTTTGCAAATAATGAGATTTTTAAGCAGTTTGTCTATTTCCTCACAACTGCACTTACATAAATACAAAAAAAGTCCTCTTTGTGTGTGCCATGACTATTTGCTAAAATGCATATTTTGATGCAGATTAAAAAAAAGGAGACAGTAACAAAAAAAACTGTACATTTTCTGGTGGCCTTGTGGGATTATAGACTTTCTAGTTATGAACCAGACTAAACTGTTGCTCCACTGATGGTTTGGAGGCATTTACAGGCAGGAAGGCAGGTTTGCTAAAAACAGGACTTCATTTGCAGGTATATATGTAAAGCTGCACAGCATATCCAGAGTTTTTGACATGCATGGTCCCTAAACAGAAATAACATTTGTTTTCACTGACAAGGCAGGAATAGGACTGCACAGCTCCTCACTCTCTTCTACAGCAATATGGGGCAGATAGTGCAGAGCAGTGCCGGCACAAATGCAATAGACTAATTTGCCTGACTACAGAACACACATATGGCAGAGATGACAGAGGACAAAGACAGAAATAGCTCAAATGCATCAAATGTGAAGATTTGAAGTCAGGTTGTTTTGACTAGTCAAATCAGTGACTAATACTTTATGTACAGTGAAGCTGTCACCGGGTACTGTGGTTATGGATTACAATTTATGACTCCAGACCTGGCTATTTACCAGAGCTGCAACGAGATAAGTACAGTAGTCATTCAGAATAAACACATAAGGAGAGCTTTTTAAAACTCTTCTGCTGAGTTGTGTTTACAGTCTAAAGTCAGTATTTAGCGTGACCTCCCTTTGCACAGCTCGAATTCTTTTGAGCAGACTGTCTTGAAGATTTAAACCATGACAGACCCTCCACCATGATTCACTGAAGGCTGCAGGCCTCTCACATACTGTGAACAATTTCGAACTTCAGATCATCACTACATAAGACTCTTTTCCATTGATCTTCACGCCAGTCTTTGCATATCTCAGCCTCTTCTCCCTGTCCCCCTTTTGAAAACATTTTGTGGCTCCCGTCCTTTCACAAAGGCCATTCCTGATCAAGCTTCTTTCGACTGTGAAAGGATCCACTCAGCATCCAGAAGAAGCTGCCAAATCTTTCCTGGATTCCCTCCAGTCTCTCAAAGAAGAAACTCTAAGAAAAGTTTTATTGGTCTTCTACTCCTGTTTTTGTCATTAACCTTTGTGGATTCTTTAGAACGGCCTGAATATCAAATCTTGAGTATCCACCTTGTTTGCTGAGTATTTATGATAGTTTTGTGTCATTTAATACATACTTCCTATATTTTCTGAATGATAAATACATACAGTCATAATAACATTGCTAAAACAACTAATCTAATGGTGACCGAAGACTTTTGCACAGTACTGTGCATAAATAAATAAATAAAAGTGAGGCTACTCCCTTGTATGAATCTTTCAGCCCACAGCACCCTAGACTTTACCCAGGACTTATGAACACTGCTAAATCAGCAGTGATGAATGACAGCCTGATATGATAGTCAGCTGCTGTCTGCTGCTGTCTCCTGAGGCTATATATGGCTGGAAATGTTTCAAAGCAGATCAGAGAAATGGCAATATACAGCAGAGGTTTTTGGTACTTTAAATGAAATAACCAGAAGTCAATTTCAGTTCAGAGTGCAATTTCACATAGAGCAATATGAAAAGAACCCAGGGAAGAGATTCTGCTAACAGGTCTGTCAGATTTTCAGACACAAATCATAATGTGCCATAGAAATAGTAACCCTGGGCAGCAATAATCTCTGCATTTCAATGAACTGCAGAAGTTCAGGTTACATTCAATACACTTTGTAACCAAAGGAAAGTGTGTCAAACATCAAACACAGATGAGAGGCCCATGGATAAGAAAATAAATCATACATCAGCTCAGATGTTTATTTTTTTCCTCTGACTGAGCTGAGGTGAAGCAGATATAAAGAAAGTTCAGTGAAGACACTGTAACAGGTGTATGTGGTCGTCACTGCGCTCAGACTCGCAGGCTTATTTGTTACCTGAACTGAACAGCACTCCTATTAAAACAACTAATCAGAGGGCCTGACAGCTCTCTGACCTTCTACCTCAACTCATCTGGCTGGCTCTATCATACTCACCATTTCAAATATCGTTCTCAGCTTCATCAATTGCGGGTAATTGTCTCCCTGGGACACGCTCTTCATTATTTTGAAAAATCTGGAGGATTGCTCCCCTGTGTGCTACCTCTCTAACAAAAGGTCTAGAACCACAATTAAGGCGGGAAACAGCAAGTCATCAGCCATTAGTGAAAAGACTAAACAACAAGTTCTCTTGGGAATCTCTAGACATTCACGGACCTGACTGAAATCTCAAACACCCATTTCACAATCTTCACAAAGTAGGTTTTACTTAGTATTTTACTGACCCTTCACACCAGACCCTTATTCCTTAATGCCATAAAAAGCCTTCCTTTGTCTTAAAAGTAGTTAGAGAGCAAACAGAATGGGTGCAAAATGGACAGATACATCCGAGACATCCTGTGTTCAAAGCTGATTTGTTAGTGTGCGTCATTCCTCCATTTGTGACAGAGTGCAGGGTTTAACACTGTAAAGGAACAGCAGCACTTTGTGAGCATCAGGAGAAAAGCGAGGCAATGAGTGGGCACAGAGTAATCTCTGAGTCTGAGAATAAACTGAGAACACAAGCAGTATCTTATTTAGGATGACGGGAATATGTGAAATTCAAAGTCAATAAAATTCATAAATAAAACATTTTAAATTAAAAAAATGTGCAAACCAAATACTTTGTCACCAAGTGATAAGCATTCACAGCTGAATCCCGTTCTTCATAGGTCAGCATTTCTTTTGTAGTCACAATGTTTTGGTCTTTGTCAGGAAGCTTGGAACTGCTGCACCTGCTGCAGCTGATATAAGGCCCAGGTCTCTGTCCCCTCAGAGTGCCTGCTGCTTCCCTCCATCTATTTTGCCATTATTCCCCAAAAGTAGGTAATTTATGCAGCCATTTATCTGGGAGGAAAAAGCACAGCTCCAAGGACAGAGACATGAGGCAAAGGAACTGCAGCAGGGCAGCACTGGGCACTGGTTTCACAGATTGATAGGTGATGCAGACTGTTTATATGTAATCTAATTTAGTCACCGTCAAGTACAAACCTTATAGCTTGCTCCTAGCTGATGAATTGCAAATATCTGTGCAGGATTGAGGGCCTCACTGAACACATAGACAGCTCCTAGCTGCCCACAGAATACTCTGTTAGCGTCGGCCGACTCTGAGGACCCAAGGAAGCATTTATCATAACTCTGCAAGTGGGACATAGAAAAAAGGAAAAGTAACATCATTTTGTACTTTGGGACAAAAAAGCATATCCAAACTCACATAGGGAGCTGAATTAGACAGATGGCAAAAGTAATGATTTAAAAATGTATTTATACACCCACAGTATATATACTGCATATATATATATATATATACTTTCTATGTAACTATCCATAACAACATCATCATCATCTTCCAACTAGTCAAAGAATCAAATGGCAGCCTGAATCAGTCAGGTACTAATACACATCAGAACCAGGAAAGGCGACAACGGTGAGAAGGAGTAAAAAGAAGAGTGCTTACATCATTTGTGTTGACGTGCCATGTCATATCTCCATAAGAAACAAGCTGCCCATTAACATAGCATCTGATTTCACTGTTTCTCCAGCGGCTATAGATGTGAACAATGCTGATCATGTACCACTGAAGGTGAGAAGAGAGTTAGATTGGAAAGATTTAATATGTGAGCTACAGAACAAGACACATACATTATTAAGTGGATCATCATGTTTCGTTTGTAAAAATGTCTTTACACTAACTAAAGTTGATAAATTACAGTGGAGTTTGGTATGTAGAGCAACACTGATGGTCGGTTTTCCAGTTCATTTCTTTTAAAACCAGCAACTTCAGAAAAACCTCAGTTACAAGAAGCCTGTGGCCATGGTGTGCTACCTAATGTTCTGAAATCTGCAGGGGAACGTAGTAAATAATAGATCAGAGGAAAGGCTACGAGGAGGCAGGGCAACTCATATTTTACTCCGCACTAAGTCACACCAGACACTTTTCCAAGGATGAAACACTAACTAAAGGTAGAATGGTGACATTAAAAGATGCCATGCCAAGTGGCTGCAACAATCAAAGAAACCATAAAAAAGACAGACTGGTCTCTAACAAGTAAAAGATAAATCAACTTTTATTTTTTAACAAATATATCTGAAAAATTGCAAGTCATTTCTCATGGCATATTTATTGATGTGTGAAGTGTTACTGATTTGTCCTCGGGTTAAGCTCTCTCCTCTCACCAAAGGCAGTTATACCTACATTTAAAAAAAAGATAAATATAGCTACATAGCTATCTGCTTCACAATTTGTCAACAGCTCTCAATTAACTTTACACACACTAAATCCTTTTATATTATTCTACTGATCTTATATTTTGTGTTGCTGCTGCTGCAGTTGTGGTAACGATGCCAGGTCTTTGGACGTAATAGTGAAGATCTGTCCAAATATTTTTCCTTACTCTGATCATTTTGTCATCACTGAACTGTAGAGTTGAAAACAGAGGGCTCAGTTTAGCCATGAGTCCCAACTTCAGGATTTAGGATTCTGCCTTAAATGCTATAATATAAAGTAAAAAAAAACAAAAAAAAAACATTGTGCTGGACAATGTTACATTATCTTGTAACAAAAGAGATGATGCAGACTGCCATATATAAATAAACTTTACTCTGATATAAAACATAATGACTCATGTACAGTATAGCCTATCACTGTTAAGTGTCAAATAGTAATTGTAATGCATGTTGTGCATGAATTAGAACTAGTTAATCACTATTAGAACTGCTTTCACTCAATACCGGTGAAGTGCATACCCCAGGGGTTCCTGTTCTATTGTCTTCATATTAGCATTAGAAGCCATCAATAAGACATGCTAAGTAAACTAATGTTCTAAAGCAGCTGAGAAAACCTTACCAATACACAGTATATGGACAGGCAAGATGTTTGTTTACAATAACAGATGGGCCTGGGCTGAAAGGATTTGCTCAGGACAATGTTTAGGATTTAGGTTAGGTACTAGGGGGTTAGGTTACAGTAGATGCAACTGGCACCAGAGAACAGTGTGTCTCAAAACACAAACAATCAAGTGTGTGAACACTGGATAACACTGGCACACCCACTTACAGCAACAAGCACTAGAGTGCCCGTTTCTTTTGCTATTGTGTGGCCACTATTTATTGGTCTGACCCAAGAAGGACACTGTGAGCACTCTAATGGCTTTACTGCTGTCTGCACACAAAAGGTAAGGACACTTAAAAAGGGATTCATGACTGAGGGGAAGAGTGCAAGCTGCCCGGAGCTCATTTAGAATGGCACTTACACACAGACGTCTGAACCCACAATCATTTAAAAATGTAATTTGACATGTTTTATCTTCCAAGAGCTTTGACAAAATGATATCTGTGCTTCGGCAGTAGGAATGGGATGAATTGCTGCTCCCAGGTGTTGTGTGAAGGCTCTAATTGTTTGACGCATGCTTTGAGCCAGTTTTCCTCCTCTGCAGGGACAAGTATGCTACACTGACATTGCAAGCTAAATTAAGTTTCATTTTCTCATCTACATTTACATCTAATTACACCTGTAAGACTCCTCTGGGGGTCTTAAACATTTAAAGCCAATCTGTAGACATACAACTTTGTAATGCCAATAAAACAACAGGTGGTGAGAGCAGAGAGTCAGGGGAAGAGAAGCCAAAAGTGCACAGTGTTTCTAAAGAGCAGCATCATTTGTTTGTTTCAAATTTATTCTAAAGCATTTATCTTGTTCTTTTCAGCTCAGGCCACAATTATGTGCATTTCTGGCATTTTCTGTTTAGCATAATGCAATGCATGTTTAGATGTGGCTTATATTTAAAGCAGCTACAATGTTTGTAGTATAGAGCATCAACTCCCTCAAATCAGATTACCTCAAATATATTTCTTTTAATATAATGCTCTAAGAACAAATATGAAGTGAATGGGTATTTATAAATGATAGACTGTAGGTCTAAATAACATAATCATAAGTTGGAAAATAGCTGGAGCACATCATTGAAAATCAAAGCTGCTCTTACCTTCCTGGGCTGAAAGTCATACTTCACACAATGCTGGAAACCTTTTCCTTTAGACTTGAGTGATGTCACAATCAAGCAGTTACCAACAAAATGTGCAGAGTAGCCAATGCCCTTGCTGGTGCGAAAGCTGTTAACAGAGAAATTTACAGATTATCAGAAATCCTGACAGGTTAAACCTAATCAATTTATAACAAGCAGAACAAAAGATATTTCTTCCAAATGTGGTAGAAGGTTTTTGACTACCAAGTAATGCACTCTGCATTTCTGTGCCTTTAAGTATTCCTTCTTAATATGTTGCACATGCCATACAAATCAATAACTGAAAAGAAATAGTGGCTTGCTTCTGCATATTATCATTGGGATGAACATAATTAGTGAAGGCTTTGCAATATGCAGACACAAGCAATTTGTAGGGGTAAGTGACAAGCAACCAGTCAGAACTGGAAAATACATAAGGTGAGAATAGAGTGACTGAAAATTTTGCAGGCATGGAAATTACAGAAGGCAAAAAACAGCGAGTCGATGAGTTCCACTGGTCCAGAATGTTTTAAAAAGTTTTCTGCTTGCAAATTGATGCATGCCAAATCCTATGGATTTTGAGTTGCTGGATTCAAATATGATGACAGCTATAGTTTTTAAGATATAGGCTATACACCGATGAGCCATAACATTATGACCACTGACAGGTGAAGTGATAACACTGATTATCTCATTACAGTGGCGTCCATCAGTGTGTGAGGTATATTACACAGCAAGTTAACATTCAGTTCTTGAAGTTAGTGTGTTTTGGAAGCAGGAAAAATGGACCGCTCTAAGGATATGAGTGAGTTTGACAAGGGTCAAACTCTGATGGCTGATGACTGGGTCAGAGCGTCTCCCAAACTGCAGGTCTTGTCGGGTGTTCCTGGTCTGCAATGGTAGGCGCCCACCAAAAGTGGTCTAAGAAAGGACATTCTCTCTAATTCTCTCTAACGCATCCTCATGACCACAGTTTTCACTCCTTTTACAAAGGTTTTTCACTAAATGGTCGACACATTTGTGCTCTTCCTGACGGTTTAATTATGGAAACAAACAGATTCACAGAAGATGCAGTAAAGCAAATAGTTTTTTCATTAAATCTGCCAAGAGATCCATTTTCAAGCAAAATTCATACATTGCCAGTGCCATATGGTTTAATTATGGAAACAAACAGATTCACAGAAGATGCAGTAAAGCAAATAGTTTTTTCATTAAATCTGCCAAGAGATCCATTTTCAAGCAAAATTCATACATTGCCAGTGCCATATCTTACAAACCAGATCCAATCAACAATTTTAGATAATTTCACTTTCAGTGTCCCCATAATTAGCTAAAATGAATTGTTTTTGTTTCAGAAACATTTTGGTTGTAGACCAGTGCTGCACTTTAGTGATGTTCCCAGTGTCTAATCCTTCCATTCTGATCTTCTTGGCTACATAGATAAAAGACTGATCATTTCAGCACTGAGGAAATGCCACCGGTTTACAATATGAGCAGACCTGGTACAGCCCACAGCCTGCACACACACAAACAACCCTGCATTCCTCAACCTTTCAATACCATGCCACCTACCACCACCCACTTGGATCATCTAAAACAAACAAACCTCTTTGCCAAGGCAGATAAAGAGAGTATAGGCTTTTATATTGTGGAAGAAATAGGGCCCCACACCTAGCTACCACTGAGCCATCCAAGATGTCCGCACGGACAAGCCTGCTTGTGATTACACATCAGGTGGAAAGCAGTACAATTGGTATGCTTCTGAAGATAGTTCTTTTTGTTGTCTACATGCCCTGCCAGTGAGCTACGAGAGCATCAGAGCAATGCATAAATAGGATTAGCTTGGCATATCTCACTCTTTTTGTGACTCTGTCAGTAATGGATTGCTGCCACACAAATACCAACAAAGTTAGCTAAACCAATATTTCTTTCTTCTTTTTGATGTTAAACATCAAAGAAACGTAGAACAAGTTGTTCCACAGCGAGTACATTCTTTCATTCAAACCGTGTGATCCAGGTAAATCAATGGCAGCCACCAGATCTTCCACATCACCCAGTATCCATTCCCTCTTTTATTTGCTTCCACAACTCTTTCATATTCCCCATTGTACTCTGTGATTTTATCCCAGAGCTCCTCTCATAAACACAGAGAACAGCAGCTGAACATCACTGCACTTGTGGGTTATTGATTTTAGCACTAATTACTCACCAAACCCTATGAGGGATGGTATGTGGGCCTGATGTGGCAGATATTCAAGACTAAATTAATACCAGCACGCTGCCTCCCACTGCAGCAGTCCTCTGTAACAGCCAGTACCAGTTGTAGTAATTCTTGCTTCCATGGTTTTTAATCTCAGTAATCCCACCTAATTCCCTCTCTATTATAATTTATTAACATTATCTGGAAAAAATGAAGCCCTTTCACAAACCACACTGCATAAGTGTTGCCAGTGTGTGAAAAACAGTGTTTGTAAAAACTGATTCAACCTTGAAAAACAAGTCTGAGTCATAATCTGCTTAAATGGGAAATCACTGTAGGTCACAGAGTATCAGACAGCATATTGCTTTGTCAGTAAAGCTGCTGAAAAAGGCCTCTGCAGAGCAGTAATGATTTCTAATACAAACCTAAAGCAATTATATTGATGGAAAACAGCAAAGTGTAATTTTCTTCTCTTTGGTGTCATAATGTAGACTTATAATGTCTGCCAGAGTGTATTGAGGACACTGGAAACATGGAGCACAAATGTATGCAACTGTGTACTCACCAGTAGAGATATGGTTTGTCCTTGTCAACATTGACGTTATTCAGGGGATCCATTCTAAACCAGGTGTTGAATGTAAACCCATTCTGATAAGGCCACTTGGCAATAGGAGGTAAAGCAATGGCCTGGGACAAAAACAAAAAGATGGTAAAAAACAGAGTCATGCAGTATGAAAAACAACTGTTGAAGAACCCTAGAGTGAGTTGGCGTAATGATACTCTATTTAGAAAAACATGAGCCAAAATACAAAAATAAGATGTTCAAGTCAAATAATTTATGAAATCCTTGGTCACAAAAATGGGTATGTTCTAATTGATTATTCATGTGACAAAATTAACACTAAAAATTGCCAATATATAGTGACCTCCACAATGTTACTGGCTGCTTACTGCACTATAATTCCTGCTCATACTGAATATTTCATGAAGAGTCCAGAGTCTGTTTTGTATTTGAGTAAAGTTGTTATTGAATTCTAAGTTTCTGGAGAGAATTGTTTGAAACAACTCTTTAAGCATCAGTGAGAAATGTGATTCAGTGAAATTACTTTTTTAATCAAAATGCTCCGGCATGATGCAAAAGATGCAACGGCAGTGAAGAGTATGCTCCACTCCATAAGCCAGCGTAATGTCCTGTCACAGGCTTCCCATTTCTCTCTAGCCATTTCCTCTATTTCTCTCAACATGTCAGCTCCCTAAATAAACTATGAGCAACTTCAGAGTGTATCTATTTTATTTAGATGCACTAGGATGTCAAACGTTCTTATACAGGCTTCTCATATTTCCCCATCTATAAACGCTTTAATTCATTTGTGTTCTTACTGCACTCAGTATATGTGAATATAAAGTGTAATATTGCCACAATAAACACAGCAAATCACAATTTCAGACATCATTTGTAAAGCCCAACACATGCCAGAGGTAAGTTTTTGATAAAAGATCATGTTAATTTGTTCGCATGAATTATCAGTTGTTTCACCCTGAAAAAAAAAAACAAAAAGACAAACCATTGCAAAACTGAATGTTAAATGAAAGAATGCGAGTGCTTACTGCTGCACTGCGCCCAGGAAAGTTGAAGAAGGCATCTGGACCGTGTCTCTGAGGCATCTGATTTAGCACTGACAGCATTTTAACCGCATGCTTCGGCTGCACAGGTGACAAAAAAATAAATAAATAAATAAATAAAAGAGTAACAAGACAGTCGAGGCTTTCTCTTTGACTGTTTGGACCGCAGTCAATACACTGTCATTTAGTCACTGATTCTGCAGTTAGTCAGTTACAGAACAAGCCTCAAAGAGATCAGTGTGATGGTTCTCTGGGGGCAACACAAGTCATAGTGTCAAACACATAAATACCTGGGTCCAACTCAATGGATCTGGCCCTTACTATCACTTACCCAGAGGCCTCCTTCCCCTCGAAGCATACTGAAGAGCAACTTCAGTTCTTTGACTGTGATGCTGTAGCTGGCCAGCACTCCCAACATGTCCACTAACAAGTCTTTAAAGGCAAGATAGCATGCACCCAACACACACACAAATAAACAAAAAGAGAAAAAAAACAATCATCAAATGGAACTGGGTTTTACATCCACACTGTACAGCTGGTCTTCACGGTGAAAAGTATTCATATGCATCAACTCCAGAGATGATAAAAACAGTTTTATTTTAGCTTGACTTCATTCTCACTGTGTTCATTGTCTGTGAAATTCCATAATATTTATCACAAAACTCTCTCTCTACAAACACATAAAAACTGACTTGTAAATCAAAGTTATGTCTATATGGTAAATTGCTTAACTTAAAGGGACAATAAAAAGCATTTAAACTTAATCACCTGAAACATAATTTATATGTTAGACAAGGTATGGATATAAATTGACCAGGGCACAAAATCTAGGTGACCCTGGATTCCACAGATGACAGCACAGGGACACATTTGAGACATTTAAACTTAAAAAAATCCCATCTACTAGTCTTGACAAAGTGTAATATTCAAAACAATAAAACCAGTGTAACCAGTGTAAAACCATGGAAACCCAACCATTCATGTGAGCTGCTGCACTATGTCTTGTTAATGAATAAAGAGTTGGTAAAGAAGAAATTCTGGCCTGGTGGTGCAGGACAAAAGTTCAGTGACCACAACACAGCAGTTAACCTCTGGACAATTGCTAATCCCTATCCTTATAATAACCTAATAAAATGCTGATCCAATGGAGGGTCGTGTGCAGGAGAGGGAGGGGTACTCCCTAGACAGGTAGTCAGGGCTGGTGCAGTGCTATTGTTTGAAATTACATTTCATTTCAAATTTACTTTCAAGTGTCGTGACTTTTTGCAGTAATTGACATCTCAAAGAACTGAATTACTGACAAAAAAAAAAAAAAAAAAAACGGGATGGAAATGATTAAATAGTTGCACAATAAACCAAATCAGAAGGCGCACTCCATCCATTTTTTTTCTGGTTTTAAATTCACTGCTGCCTTCACTCACTGGTTTGACATCAGTACAACACAGCCAATGCTATCAGGAAATGAAATTGTTTTGAAAGGTTAAGTTTCACAATAATATTTTCTTCAGCCATGTTATTGAAGACCTTTGGTGCTTGACTGTTGTAGAGAAGTCAATAATCAATCTGAAAACGAAAATACATGTACTACCACTGTTACTGAGCACAAAAAAACATGGGGGAAAGAAGGGCCTGTTTACACCTTTATCATACCTGCAATCATGTCATCCACCAAGCTCATTTTGAGCAGCACCTGCTGGATGAGGCCCACCTCAGTGCTTGACTGCAGGTTTCGAACACTTTTTCGAAGGATGGCAGTGAACATGCTCCAGATTTCCGCCTGGCAGGTGACATCACAGTGCTGCAGCAGCTCCACCATGCAGCTGATGCTTTCTGCATCCTGGATAATGAAGTTTGTCTCCAGATCAAACTCACCACCCACCAACTGCAAAATAATATGGGAAAGACGAGGAATGTAAGAAATGACTGATTCACATATTGTTAAAATTATGTTCTGTGTGGTTGATGTTGTGACATGAATTTAATTAAACTTTCACAACGAGCACTGCTGTTTGACCCAAATTTCAACCCTGTTCTTGATTAGGATGTTCTCTGAGGGAAAATTAACCATGAACATATTTGCCAGGTCGCTACTCTGATGTTAAACGGCTGGCCAGCACTGAAGAATAAAGTGGAGATCTCTTTCTATGTAAAAATGGTTTTGATCTGAATTTAAGCACCCATAAAAATAAAATTGCCTGGCACACTGAAGAGAGGACAGGACGTGAGTCCCTCTAGCCCTACTGCCCCTTTAATTTACACAAGGTAATCACTCTTAAGAATGCAAAAAACAATAATCAATAACGCAGTTCTTCAAGTCCAACAAGCATGGAATTACCCCATTAAAGACGTGCATGGTATATATGGGGAGCACTGAGAACAACTTGCTGGTGGGTATCAAAGCAAGCAGGCAGAAAATGGGCCAAGATACCTGCTGAGCATTACCGTGATTGACAGGGAATAGCTAGCTGAGATCAAAAGCAGCTTAAAATGGTGGAAACAGACTAGTCCAGGGAGGTATAGATCGAACTTCACCTCAATCATCATCAGATCTCAATGCAATTACATTACAATGATGTGCATCACTGGGCTGCTTGGACTGAGTTTTCAGCACACTGAGTTTTTACTCAGAGTGCAGTTCTTCTGTTGATAAAAATAAAGAAGGGTAGATGATGTGTAGAGAAGTAAAACTCCTCACTCTCTCTCACTGTGCATTAAAGCAAGAAATGCTGCACTGATGTAAAGATTTAATGTCCAACAGTTGTGCTGTGGTTTAGTCTCTATATTCAACTAATGTTGCAGATACTGTATGTAGATTCTAGAAGTATAAGTGATGAAATGATTCTTAAGATGATTTTCAGCAACTTAGCTTATTTTGGAAAACTAAAAAGGCTATAGCCTTCTGTATATATTTTCAAATCCATCCCCAATGCTGAAATTCAGCCTGAAAACCAGACATCTGTGGCTTTGTGGCCAAACTGTGCAGACGGCCTCTATAAAGCCGAGCAAGCTGTAACAAGTCTGTCTTCTAAATATAGTCACTATGTTAATTCATATGGAAAATTAACAGATTGGAGTAAAGCTTGTTACTGGTATGCATATAATCCTCCTCAATGCCAAATTGTCTGCTCCTCCTACCACCTGCCTCATGCCGCTGGGCATGTAGTGCTGCAGAAAGCCAAGCAGAGACTCCAAACACAAGGCAATATTTTGCTGTTTCATCGTCCTGTTGGCTGCATGATGGCTGTCTAACTGGGTAAAGAGTATTACATTTGCAGTATAATAGCAGCTTGGTACCAAAACCCCTGACCATGGCCAAAGGATGTGGGCAGTCTTACAAACAGAACATTTACACACACCTACAGTATTGGATATATCAAACCATTCTAACAATCCTATGCAAGTTCTGCTTGAATGAATGTATGATACTTATATCAACAAAACACTGCCACAATATGTTTATATACCCTTACCTTGTGGTTTTTCTGTCATAAACAATAATGGCTTTTTGCTATCAAAGGCTGTTCATCTACTGTAAATTTGAGTTATTACTGTCAGAATAAAGGCTCTCCAGCTGCAGCCATGAGGTCCAGACTAAACCTCGTCATTGTCCAATGCTGTTGCCATTAATCACACCATTCACAGGCATGCCACAATCCTGAGAAGTGGCGTAATTGCACATTCAGATCCCCAGAATAATTTTCACCAATTATGCTACAAGAGGTAAATAAAGACATGAAATCACTGATTACACACTTAACACATCAAGAGCAGAGTTTCTCTGAACCATTCTCTGAGTAAATCAGTGCAGAGTTTGTATGCCACTTAATTTCAGTGATATAAACCACATAATCATTGTTAAGAAGAAAACCAAATTCTTTGTGTACAGGAGCAAACTGTTTTGTATATAGTAGTTTCGAAAATACTTTTCATACACTTTGTGTAGACATATAGCATAATTTTACAAAAACTATGATTCTTCCCCATTTTTTTCCCACCAATCTACAATCAGTAACTAATAATAACAAACATGTTTGTGCTAGTGTATTAAAATAAAATTTCTCATTTCCAAGAGTATGAATACTTGGTAGAAGCACCAATGACAACATCTTGGATAAGTATCTACAAGCTCTGCACATCTGGGTTTGGGCAGTTTATCCATTTTTCCGCACACATACGCACAATATTTTTACCAGGTTTTAAATATATGTATACAATATACTAAACATCTGCACACAACAAATACAGCTTCTATTTTGCTTTTTGGGAGGGATTTTGAGATCATGTCAATGTGAAAGCACAAAAATACTTCGGTCCCTAGGGTAGGTCTGACAAAATTAAAGTTATACGGGCCAAAGACCTGTCCACACCACTCTGAGCTATCTTTCTTAAGGCAAAAAGCTTGGGAAGGGTGTAACATTGTTTGGATCAACTAGATTGTTTGTCAGAGCTTCATTAAGAACAAAAAGGTCGCTCGAAATGACCTTCGTCATCCCTGGGCAGAGATGGAGATCTTGACAGAAAAACAGTCTACTCCATTAATTAGCTCTTTTTGGTAGAATGGTGAGATACAGTAGATCCCTCTCCTAAATTAAAGGCCTAAGGCAGCCTGCCTGGAGTTTAGTGAAAGTAAGTCTAGTAGCATGAAGAAATATATATATTACATTTTATATTGAGGAAAACCAAGTGGGGCAGCAGACAGCCATGGATCATCACCTGACTAATACTGTTCCAACAAGGAAGATGATGATGGCAGTAGCATAACCAACAGGACAGAATAAATACATGAACAAAGCTAAATGCAGAGAGTTAACTGAAAAAATACCTACACCTAACCAAAATGGAGTGAGAATCTACCTTTCACATAGACAATTATTATGGCCCATCATCAGCACAGAAAAGGCAGTACTGCAGTGGCTTCTACAGTCTGGATGTCTAGTGACCCAGGCACTGGCTGACGTCTGAAGGTGAACCCGTTTGTAAATGTGCAGAGAGCTGAAGTGTGCAATTCCTCTGACTGGATCTGAGAGGATCCCCACAAAGGAGTGCCACAAACAGCACCAAAACAGATGCACTATGGGAAAAGTACAGAGGACTTGAAAGTGTGCCTTCAGAGGAAAGAGTCTGAAAGTCTAAGTAAACTAGACATTTCTGTTTCCATTTATTAAATCTGCAGCGTTTGATGTTTTCATTTTGTAACTTAAGTCTTTAACACTACTAAATTCTGAAAAAAAGGTGTCTGTCAAAACCATGCATTTGAAATTCTCCTTGGCATACATTTTTAATAGTTAATGAACAAGCAATGCCGAAGGCAATTAAAAGGTGCTATACTGCACGTCATTATAATTGTCTAATGAGTATCCTGTCAAAGTCTATAGGCATACAGCATCACTTAATACAATAAACCAGTGGTTCCAAAAATGGGGAGGGGGGTAATTAAGTTGTGGAGGTAAAGCAATGGCTAAATATAACTTGTGTATATATATATATAAATAAACAAATCTGGGGAGCACAGATGAAAAATATGTTTAGCCACAAAAGAGGGGGCCCAGGAAAAAGGCTTGGGAACCACTGCAATAAAATATGCCACTGGAAATAGTGGCTACAGCTAAATTATCTAAATAGACAAATCATACAAGGTAACATACAAGGCTCCCAGCCCAAGTGCAATGTAAGAATTAAATATTTCAGTTTCTTTCTGACTCTCTGCTGGCTCTACAGAGTTTACAAGAAACACTGACAGTGAGAGAATGTGACTGTACATTCATTTATTTTGCATCTATCTCTTATTTCTACCTCTGATGGTTTCCAGTGATAAAATGCTGCTAGCCTTGGTTTGTTTACCACAGTTAAGCTCAGTGTGATGCTGGGACTGAGTTCCCCTTATAATCTTTATCACTGAGATGCAGAGATGATAGCACTATCAGTAATCGGCACAATAAAAGATAAAAGTCCTGCACAAGTGTCATAAATTCATATACAAATGAGTCAGGACTTAAGCAACAACACAATTCAACAATATACTACCTTTACTGATGGTCTACTCTACTGATTTATACTTTAAAGTGTTGCTAACACTATGCTTGAGCATAGGGCGGTTCATAAGCGTACTTAGTACCAGAACACCTTAGGGCTCAGATTGATGATCAACTTTATTGTTGTATCATCTGATCTGCGGCCATAGGAGGAGAGCTGTCAACTGATCACCACCTAGTGGTGAGTTGGATCAGATGGTTGGGGAGGCTGCAAGATAGACCTGGTAAATCCAAATGTGTAGTATGGGCGCGCTAGGAACGCTTGGCTGAGGCCCTTGTCAGTGAGGACAGAAGAATTTCTCTGACGTCCCAGGGAGGCCAGGGACATGGAACCTGAACGGGCCATGTTCAAATGCTCCACTGTAGAAGCAGCTACTCTGAGTTGTGGCCAGAAGGTCATTAGTGTGTGTCTTGGCGGAAACCTGAGAACCTGCTGGTGGAAACCAGCAGTGACTTTTGGCTAGCCTGAAAAGAAGTTGTGGCAAACTGTCCGACGGCTCAGAAAGGGAAAGCAGGGCTTGGCCCAGGCTGTGTTTGGTGGGGGAGGTGAACTGCTGACTGCTGCTTTTTTTTTCTGGATGGAAGAACTGTTAATTGGCGTTATGATGATGACACTGTCAGTTTCTTTATTCATATGGGAGAAATTACCTTAAGTGCACAGTTTCTTTGTACGTGGCTAGGAGCTCAACATATGTGATGTCATATAAACTAATCATTCCACATACAGGATGCTCTTTTCTTTGTGTCTCATTAGAGGGTAGAAACAAAACATAATGGTCTAAACCGAAGTCTCTCAGGTGCTACAAGTGTTTGAGGACTGTCTTGCAGTTCTAGTAAAAGACGGCGTGTC